AAATATTTCTAGAAGAGGTCTGATAAAAAAAGAATGAAATGAATATAATATAGAGACACAAATCTTGCTAGGACTACCACTTTTCTATTATAAAAGGCATCATGTGAAATCGAACTCACAATTTACCTCTAACAAAAGCAAGCAATATGCCATTAGGCCACAATGTTATCAGTAGGGCTACCACATTTCGGAAAGAGATTGACTATATATTTATACATATGAGGAGTGGATCGGAAGATCGTCAAACATAATAGCAATCACATGGACTTGTTTCATCTTTCCTTCCATTACAAACAACACATTTTATATATTAAAAACTGTAAACCCTAATTATTATATACCATGCATGCTGTTACTGTGGCTCAGGGTTATAAATTTTAATGTCTAGTTTAAGAATCGTTTTAGTAGTTATATAACTGTTGTTCGGTCAGCCATCAGGGTGGTCATTGTTTTTTTTTTTTCCTCCCGAAAAAAAAAAATACCCATTAAATGGACTTATAGTTTTGTTTTCCTTGACAATAACCCATCTAGGTATAAGTACTCATTTCTCCTTAGGTTTTTAATTTTTCCCCCCACGGGCACTATTGCAAGTTTTAATCAACTTTGCAATTTTTTTAATTCAGATTTAACAAACTTTAATGCCCAAAACCTTTTTTTTTTAATACAAAGAATCCTAAAATTAACCAATACGGTTAATATGGTCATTAAACAAATTTTGATGCATTTATGTCTTGCACTAGCTGGTTCAGACAAGACAGTCAACTCATTAGCTATGTTATAGCCAATCAGCACAAGTTTATGTAACTTTTAGGGATAAAAATATATATGCCCATATCATACCTCAATCTCACACCAATATTCTCTTGATATCTTCTAAAATACCAAAATCTAGATTTTTGCATGCCCAAAACTGTTTTCAAACACACTATATAGGATATAGAGTTGATCCATGGTTGCTTTTAATCAACAAACCACTTCTATTATTTCAGATTTATCAAATTGTTTCTATTCTTGAATCACATTTGATCTCTGTACTGTGGATGCTTAATTAAATGTTATTAAAAACATATACATGTTGGTTAATTAATTAATAACCTGATAATGAAAGCATTAGATTAGAAGACACGCAAGTTAGAATGACAGGAGTTAATCAAATCACTAGCCCTATTTTTTTAATACAAGCGTGCACATCCTTTTCTGGAACTTAGAACAACAAAGTGACTTTTAACGATAAGAAGTAAAATATTTCACGCCAACCAAAGTCACAAAGTATAATAGCTCTCTGACTCTGACTTTGATCTTCTTTTCCCACTTCGGATTCCACAACTTAATCACTCCCTCCATTAATTTCAGCAAAAATCTCTCTTTCAAAGAGTGTGTGTGTGTGGAAACATGGTTCATGAGTGTGTCGTCTGCGAATGTTATTGCTTAAAAGAGAAGAAGACCAAACCTTTGACTTCATCATAATTAAGTACCTTCCATACACACAATAAAAGGTTAATGGATAAGCTTATATATCTTGTACTACTTCCTGCCTCTGAAATCGCCATAAGCAACAGCTTCTGTTTCTTCTTCTCTTGCCATGTTCGAAACGCACACATGGGATATTCCCACCATATATTCACATGGCTCTCTATATATAAGGCTAAGTATTATGTATTTATGTACTTCTTTAGTTCAGTTTTCTGCTTTATCTGTTTCATTTGTACCCTCTTCCAATGGCCACTAGTTAGGTCAATGCTAGCTAGCCCTTGTTGTATAGGTACTATACCATTATTCCTGCCTTTCAATTTCTTTTTCTTCTCACAGAGAAACCTATTGTGTGTGTGTGTGTGTGTGTGTGTGTGTCACCTTCTTGCTCAATCTTCTCGGTCTCAGTATATGCTTTTGAACTTGTTTCTTCTCTAGATATACCTTAATTTCACTATATAAATATTATCATGTATGCTTCGGGAGTTTTGTAAGCAGCTTCTTCTTGGCTATCTATCTTCTCCTGGAATATGGATTCTTTCCTACCGTATGTTGTACTATCCAATGAATATAGATAGATAAAGTGAGTGGTGGGACCTATCTCACGTGCGGTTTTCATCTCCCATCTATCTCCCTTCAATCCAAGTAAAGAGTCTTATGTTCACTCTATATCACTCGTGTGCCCTTGTTTATAAAATAGAGAGATTATTTATTTTAAATAAATAAGACACTTCAAAAATTATTGTGTTCATATTGAACTTTTTTTTTCTATTAAATGTTGAGAATATTATTAAATGCTAAAATATTTTATGTTTAAAGTATGTATATTTAATAGGGGGTAAAGTTGAAAGCTTATTAACTTTTTAAACAAAGTTAACTTTTTAAACAAAGTTAATAAGATTTATGGTTTTCTTTGGTTCTTGTAAACATGTTGGGAGATTCACATATAGAACAAGAGGGAAGTATAAGAGATTGAAAATTTCCCCCTTCAACTGTTATGTGGCATGTTATTCAATTGGTCGTTTTTTACATTATTTTTTGTAGTTTTATTTTTGATATGTTATATTTTCACCTTTATTTGAAAATCTATAATTTAATTGTTCATGATATACTCCTTTTATTGTATAACACACACACACATTTAGAAATCCTATTTAGTTCAAAATATATTAATATAATTCTTATTTTTTTCAACTATATCCCTACTTCATTTATTATTTCTTAAAAAAATGATCTATTAGAATTTCAATTATCATTACTAAGTTAAAATAATTATCAATATTTTATATTATGAACCAGAAAGAGTACCAATTAAGCTTTTTATCTTTCAAATCCAAAGTACATATAGCCTTTATTTAGGCTAGCACATACATACATACATACATACATGATATTCCAAAGGTATGTATGTATGTATGTATGTATATGCATATTCCAAAGGTTGCTTTTTACCTTTAGTTTTTAAATTGTAATTGTTTCCATTGCCCTTTGCTCTGTATGGTTTAAATTATTTAAACTCATATAGCAGCCATGTTTATTGCCTATTGACTATATCGTTATGCATATTTTCACATTGAAGTATGTTTCACAATGCATTAGACTCTCATGATAATAAACAATATGTGATCTTATTTACAAAGTGTTGACAACATTTAAAAAGGGAAGCATATATCGTTCTTATACATGTGTGATATTTATGAAACAACAATAACAAGCCTTATATTACAAGGTGGGATCAATTATATAGATTACACATACCATTATCCTTGATATGTGATACTTATGAGAAGCACCACATAATACTTCTAATTTTATCTTGTGCTTCCTAAGTTTATTGTATATATTTTCACACCAAACTTAAATCTTACTAGCTAGTGCATTGCATGATCACTATTTGTAATTGTCCCAATTAAACCCTGACTGTTGTAATTAAATTAATATATTTTTACTTATATATGTATATAAATAATATTCATGGATTTTATCTGATTCACTTTGTAATAATTCCTACACGGCTTCAATATCATTTGTGTTGTGCGCATGATTTAATGGTTGCTAAATGGAAGGATGGTATAAGAGCTAACTTGATGTGTTGCCAACGCTATATATATACCAGGCTCAGCCTATATATATAGACACTTATAATTACAGGTAGTGTATTGCTTGCCTTCTAAACCTGAGAATCATTTTCAGGTTAAAATCTGCAAATGATTTATTGCGAGACTTGGCAGCAAAGCATTCCGATGCCACCATTCTTTGTCTTTACTGTAATCAATACTAGAATCCTTTTCACTTTTTTTATTCGTTTTTCCCTTTTTCTTCTTGTTTATATATATAAACTTTTTAGTAAACAAAAAGCAAATCAAGATGATGGACCGGGGAAATGAAATTAAGAAAAATCTCTGCTTTTTTCTTAATATTTGTGGCTTTTGACATAAGAAAATTAATTCTAATGCAGTTTGAGCATATTTTGTTATCTGTTTTTTTAAACATAAAAGCATGATACATTGAGTTTTTTTATTTAACATACATATGCATATACATGATGAAATTATACTGTCAGCCTTTGCTTTCAAGAAAGGTAGCATATCAATGCTAGGTTTTAGTGCAAGGGAAGACAAAGAGTAATGAAGTGATATTCCCCTTTTTTCTGGTACTCAAACTAAATAATTTTGGATAACTTTAAGGCAAGATAATTTAGATGTTTATTAACACGAAAATCATTATAGTAGAAGTCAACTTTAAAGTTATTTACAGAAACACACCTCCACTTTAGAAATGATTAGGTTTAATATCTTTAAAAATAGAGAAAACATAATTTTGGATCCCTATAGTTTCATCATATTTCTCTTTCAGTCCTTGTAGTTTTTTTTTTTTTTGTATTTTCAGTTCTTATAGTTTTAGCCAGATTCAATGATGTTTGTTACTCGCTACCCTATAGTTTCAGTATTTTTACCAAAAACAAAATCAGATAAAACTGTATTTCCCCTTAAAAATATATCTATGTCCATCTTGCTTTTGAAATTTATCTATTCTTATAAATTAAATCAATATTGTTCATGACTTGTCAACAATTTGCTTCCTATACTTCTAATACTTCATATTGATTAACTTTTCATTCCCACTGTACAAAACAATATTAAAGTCAAAGTATATGACAAATGAAAACAAAAGCAAACCACACACACATAAAATTTTTGACAAACTGTACTATTGTTTTAAGTTGTGAGAATTTGGATTGCATGTAGTGATTTAGAGTTTTTTTTGGATTCCCACTTAGATATGTTGTGCAATTAATGTGTTCATAGATCTTAACAAAAGCTGAGACATAAACCTTACATGAAAGTAAGAAACACTGAGTTGAAGAAACAATAAAACGGAACATTTATGTATTGTGCAACGAATTGCTTTGCAACATGCGAACACAGACATTGATCAATACATTGAAAACACTGCAATCTAAACGCTGAAACAATATCCAATAATATACTTTGGCGTACTGCAACTTCAAACTAAAGGTTCAATAGGGATTTTAACTTAACGCTGAATAGATAGAAGCTATACTCCTAAAAGTGAAGCCAAAACCTCACCAATAGTTAAGAGTTATGCATGCTATTGATGTACGTACGTTTATTATTTACAAGAATCCAAACAGTGCTTGCATATATTAATTTTATGCGTAAATTAAACTAATTCATTATATTATAATAAGCACCCTATAATTAATTAGTATGTACCCTTCAAAGCCATCAACATTTTTTGAGCTTGAGGACACTATTTCCACAAATCAATTGGGCAACTTGAGGTTGACGTTGAGGCATTTTCAGGCACCATTTCTTGCTTTTCCAAATTTGATGGTCTGAACTGTACATTACTAGCAATATTGTCCATGGTCTGATGAAAAATGTTGTTGTTGCTGCTGCTTGTGCCTGCATTGTTGTGGTCCTTATTATTAGTAGGCACATCTTCTTGACTAAGTTGTGATGCGACAAACTTGTCGAGTACTCGCCAATCGGTCACTTGTTCATCGTCCGTGGCCATATGTTCTTGGCTACTACTGCCATAAACAGCCGTTACCTGAAAAGTTTGCTGATCTTCTGCTGATGCCGCAGCATGGTTCATCACATCAAGACCAAATGCTGCCATTAAGTTGTTGCTAGGGTTTACAGTAGCTGTTGAAGCTGCTGCCGGAGATTGAAGCAATTTCGGGTTCTGGTAATCGAGAAGTGGAAGCTGAGGGAGGAAGTGGTGGCGAGTTTGAAGCTGGTGAAGCAATGGCATGTTGTGATGATGAGGATGGTTGTGAGGGTGATCAAGCTCTTTCTTGCAAGGATAACTATTATTGATGATTGGGATTTGGTGGTACATCAAATTATGTTGAGATTGATGATGAGGATTTTGCTGCTTTGGTGAGTCCAAGTCTTGCATGAAAGTTGAGACTTGCTGGTCATCGTACCAACAAGGAGAGTCATGCTCACTCACTTTTCTTATGGTTGTTATTCTCTTCTTGAATACTCTACACACAACCCATCCTTCTTCCTGCTTCAATCATTCCCCAGAGAAAATAAAAATTTAAACCAATAGGAAAAATTGACTAATTACTGACAAATATAATAATTAAAGAAAATCCATTCGCCCAACAAAGCAAGTGTTAGGTGGGTGATATAAACGATGAGTAATTTATCTGAAAATAACTGATACACTTAATAAGTCCAACCAAAGAAAGAACCCTTTACTGAATTGAATTTTGGTCTTATGTTTTTATCTTAGCTCTCAATTTTTTTATTTTCTTTCTGTGATTTGGATGATTTACAAGAGTTTGATTCCAAAATCAAGGAATTTGAGAACCCAAAATTTCTCTTACGAATGTGCTTGATGATATGCTTCAAGAACACAATTTTGATATTTTCAACGTATAACACTAACCTTTGTGAACTATCAGCCTTGTTTTCACATATTAGTCCAAAAATTTAATTGACATATTCAACTATAAACTATGTACAATATTCACCAACCAGAAAAGGAAAGAACCAATGTGCAACACAATGCTTCATTCCACAGACAAATTGGAAACAATCAGAATGAAAATATGCAGTCACACTTCAACATTAAAGATTAAGAGTGACGCTCATGAACTTGCCTGTGGTGTACCATTTTCATCGGTTTCGAGCCGATACTCATGCATGATCCAATCTGATTTCTGTCCATTAGGAGCTCGACCCTTATAGAAAACTAGGGTTTTCCTCATCCCTATCAGATCATGCTTGGAATAGATAGCCTTATCTCTTCCTGTTGCTTTCCAGAATCCTGCAGCTGTGGCTCTATTTGTTCGAGTCCCTGTTGGATATTTCTTATCTTTATGGCTAAAGAAGTACCATTCGTTTTGTTCTTCAGTTCCTATCCTGCAAATCTCTTCAATTTTATGTATACAGCAATTAAGCAAACATGTTAGGCAAGCATGCATATACTTATTAGTTTTCATGAAATTATATATAATCTGTTCTTCAGTATTATTAATTGTGTTTGTGTGTAACATACCTTGAAGATCCCAAGGCTCAATCTTGTAGAGGTCCACATCTTTGATGACATTAAGATCAATTCTTCTTGAAGTGACTTTCTTCCTCAGGTAGTAATCAACAAGTTCTTCATCTGTGGGATGAAACCTAAAACCAGGTGGAACATAAGAAAAAGAATTCATATTCTCTCTCTTCTTTTCGAGTCCTGCACATATAACAGTTAATCAATTAGGTTTAAACAATCACACTTGACCTACCATAAAAAAATAATAATCTCTTGAACCAGAGGCCAGAACTTTAAATGTAAATCTGTGAATTTTTTTTAATCCTATATGCTCTTCTTTGGTTGCTCCTTATGCTAGCTAATTAACTAGGAAAAATTTGAATATTAAATTAGTTGGTTTGCTAGATATGCCTATGTACATGTATTTAAAAAATCATAAGAATTAATTCCCAATATATAGTTAATTTAAGCTTCCAGTTATATTAACATTTTAATAGTATCAAATTTGTTACAAAATAACCTCAAAAATTTTATCTTCAAAAGTGAAATATCAAATTTGATCAAGGTTCCCACATCCTATGCTGTCAATTTGGTCATTATAATCCAATGTCACCTCTAGAATGTAGAAGATTAAGTAACTAGAAATTTCCAAGTTCTGGTAAACAATAAATTTACTTTCTGTATCTTTAAGTTTAGCTAGCAAGCATGTCTAAAGTTAGATAAATCTTTTAACTGATAAAAATATAATTTCGGAATATAACATATTAACACCAAATCATTATGGCACTCATAGAGGCCAATGTATATCCCAAATTTAACTGTTTAATTTTCTCAAGTGGAAGGTGAAAAAAATAGTAATCCAAGAATTATTTGAATTTAAAAGAAAATGAATGAATGAAGGAGAAAATAAAGCAGGCAAGGCCATGATTATTGAGCATGTGAGGTGTCTGCATAGTCAACACGCACATGAGAGAGCAGACATGCATGCAGTGTTACTCCCTCCCTATATAGTCTATAACATCAACATTCACAAGTGGTTCTTACTCATTGTGATTCCCACTAATTTACATGTGTGAGAGAGAGAGAGAGAGAGAGAGAGAGAGAGACCCATGCTTCTGAATCAAAAAGCTAGTGAACCTTCTTGTTGATTCTGCAACATTGGTATGCTTGGGCCGAGAGAGAGAGAGAGGAGAAAAAAACAATGAAATTTTTCTGGTAAAAAAAAGTCCAATATATAATGCGTGGGGAAAAAACTCTATCTCCAGAACTTTGAAGAGTTTCTTTCCTTTTATAGATCTTTAGTTTAAACACTATTTGGTATATGAATTTAGTGTCTATATTATGTCTTAAATGTTATGACAACAATAAGCAACAAATCAAAATAAATGATGGAGTACTAAATTTAAATCCTGAGTTTTAATTTGAAGGTGCAAAATTCATCTGTAAAATTAAATAATTTGAGGTCTCAAATTTTACTTAGAGAGTGCTCTAAATTTTGATATATATATATATATATATATGTATGTGTGTGTGTGTGTGTGTGTGTATGCATGTATGCATAACATTAAAAGGAGCTAGAAGGAGATAGCTCACAGATCAAGAAGCACTTGTTCTTGAGAACAACAGATCGATCTGGTTACGTGGAATTAACATCGTTTCTTCTTCAAATTCTTCTAATCTCTTAAGAGAGATAAGATATGAAGAAGAATTTGAGAAGAACAACACAGCGAAAAATCCAGAATCAGCAAAGATTTTCAAACCCCAACAACCGCACACAAGAAAAAGCAGTAGTACGTACACTCACAGACAAACAAACAAAAAAGAAAAGCAGTCCTCCTCGGGAATTGAACCAACCTCGTCTTTGAAAATCAGAAACTGTCTTGTCTCTACTGATTGTGTTCCTCAACGACCTGTCTTACTGTGCTTGTCGGATCAGATCCCAAAGAAAAGACAAAGCTAGGAACAGCCACGAAAAGTCTGAGACGGGTCGATGAACCTGATGATCAGCTCTAGCTAGCCAGAGAGAGGAACTAATTACAATAACAACAACAATAATAATACAAGCTAGGACTACTACACCGAGTCTATATAACAAACCCTAATATATATGGATGGATGATGAAGAATAAGGATTGAGAGAGAGAGAGAGAGAGAGGGTTATAAATTGGATGTTTCTGGGTGTGTCTCACTGTCAAAAGGAGCTGAATTGGTGGGGAAGCGTTTTGGGAAAGAACAGAAATTGCAGAAGGAAAATGGGTTTGTTTAGTACCACAGTTCTACCCGCAACTGATAGAGACCCAAATGAGAAGAGTGAGAAAGTGATGAAGAAGAGAATATATCGCAAGATTTGCGTGTTGTGACTCAATCGATCAATCAGGTGTCTTTCTAGCTATCTGCAAGCTAATGAAGCTTTGCAAATAAGAACCAGAGAAGGAAAAAGGAAGGGGACAGAGAGAGAGGGAAAGAGAGAAACGGTGAATGCAGAGAGGAACTAACGGCACAGACCAATCACTAATCTTAAAGAGAAACCAGAAGACCCCAAAAAGAGAAAGGTGGCATCATTGTTGGTGACGTAATGGAACAGCCACCCCACAACCACAAAAAATAAAAAGTAAAAACAAAAAAATTAAAGTCACCTTCACACAATTGTTTTTTTGATACTATATAGCATAATTAAACGCAATTTTATTCCTCATCCATAAACTTTTAGGGATATTATAAACTTTAATTTTAAATTTTCTCTCAATTATTAATTTAACCCATAAATTTTGACTCAATATAACTCAATTCTTTTAATTTGCTGAATTTAGGAATTATAAAAATTGATTTGTGTTGAATCAAAAAAATATAAGGACCGAGAGTTATTTTGAGTCAATACATTACAAAATTTGAGTTGTTTTGAGTTAAAATTTAAGGATTAAATTGATAATTGAAAAAAATTCAAAGACTAAACTTACATTTTTCCTTTTTTAGATATATGATGCATTGAGATAAAGGTGGGAACAATTTTAAATAAGAAAAAAAATTAAACTGAAATACCATTATGCTCTTCTGTGTGTGAGTTGGATTCCTTATTTCATCATTGAATTCATACAAATTTAATTAAAAGAATGTAAATTTATGTGTAGTTCACACTTCTCACATCTTCTATTGTTAGACACACATTTTATTATTAACTACTAATGTTCAAGAACTAAACTCTTTCACGTTATAATCTTTTTAGTCATACTTAATTAAAACCTTAAAAATGCTAGCTCAATCTAAAATAAGGTACTTTTGAGCCAATGAAGTATCTGCAGAGACAAAACTTGAGGATACCCTTACAATAATAATTAAAAAAATTAAGATTCTAAAACGAATATGACATATAAATAAGATAGTCATACAATAACAAGAAATATTTTGTATAATTAAGTATTATTAAAAAGAGTATATTATAATTAAGATAATTAGAGCCAAACACTTAACAATAATAACTAAACAAATATATACTAGAATGAATATAAGATAATATATAAGATAATCGCGCATTAACAAGAAATATATATGTATAATTGAGTACGCTAAAAATATTATAATTAAAATAATTAGAGCTAATTATATTTGTCATATTTCAAGCATCAATACTTCAGAGTACACGCATATGTGAGGAGGACATAGCGGCCCCTATTAGGCCCTACCATTCGGCTACCATTTCTTCTTCAAGTCTTAACTATAATATATGTTGTCATGATTCATTTGGTTAATATAATTGTAATGATTCATTTGGCTGGTATAATTGTTAATGGCTCTACCTATAGCTAGATGGATCTCATGAGAAAATAATTTCCCTTATTTTTTTATGAAAAATTATAATTCTGTTTGAATTAATATTATATTTTTAACCAAAAAATTGAATCATGATTGAAAGTTAAAATATATTTTACAGAGATTCATTTTCCAGGAAAAAAATAAAAATAATTTTGATAGATTTATCTAACTAGATACTTTTTTACTTGTAAAAGGTTAATGGCTTTGTGGTCCCTCTCCAATTAATTCTGTGTTAAGTGATGGTAGTTCAGCTAATATAATTAGATTAATTATACCATTCTTGCATGTCTTTCACACACGTAAATTTCAAATATTTATATAGAGTTAGTTCAATTAATGATTATTGATAATAGCACATCTTTTTTATTTTTTCCTTTTTAACTATCTGGTGTCAATTATTGTGAGAACCGCTTAAGATTAATATAAATATACATAAAAGTACAATAAATTTGTTTCTCATTCCGTTGTTCAGTGGTTCACTGAATCTTGTGTGTAACAAAAGTAATACACTCATGTAAGGAAATGCATTTTCAAATCTTTCATTGAAACAACTTAATTTTAACAAAGTTTATTAATGAGGACGCCCATAATGTAAGTGTAAAAGGCACAAAAAAAAGGCACACAAAAATTATAGTGATTCTTTTTAGACGCCTAATTCCAAAGGTAAAAGTGAATGGTTGTATATAAAATAATTATAACACACTAAAATAGTAAAAGTTCGTGTACCTTACTTGAAAGTGATAATTATTTCATGTCTTAAGTGATACAAAAGCATATGGTTAGCCAAAATACTTATAATAACAAGAATCATGAGAGTGATTACATAATTAATTTTGTGGATCACATGTTTGAGTTCTATTATATATGTTTGCGAAGAAATTAAATGTTATATAACAAATGGAAAGGTCTACCATATGAATGGTACGTAATTATGCCGTATAATATTCTACTTCTAAAATTGAGAAAAATATGTCACGAACAAAACTTGAGCAATTAGATTTAGGAAATTTTATTTATAAAAATTTTTAAACCAAAATCATATTAATCAAATACAGAAAACATGTGTAAATATAAAAAATATTAGTATAACTTTAATCAAGTAATAATAATAATAAATCATGATTAAATCAAAGACTAATTTTTTTACCAATTTTCAATCGATTTTTCAAAAGGCTCAACTTTTAGGTATTTATAACATTGTTTTTCTAAGGTTTAATTATTTTAATTAGGATGTAAGAATTATTAAATATATCTTTAATTTACATATACTTTTCAAATATTTTATGTGGTCATTGTTGTGCAGCCTACGACAGTTTGTTAACCACTATTAGTATGTCTTTGGAAACAGCTACACATGCGATTATGACCAAAATCACTCATTACAATCATCTAAACTAATTATGTACTACTCTTGTCCTACTTATAAGGCAGAAAAAGAAGAAAAAATTTAATCCTATTTATATGACACTTGTCAATTTTTAATGATCTTTTTTTTATATTTTTTCCCTTATTAAATGCTTTGAATAAAAATATAAATAACAAGATTTAAAGATAGTTATTGGAGATAAAAGTAAAAACTTATTAAATTTTAAGATAAAGTTAATGAGGTTTAAAGTTTTTCTTGATTCCAGTGAAACATACTGAAAGTAACTTATAAATAGGACTAGAAGTACAAATTTAGGAAATCTCTCTCTGTAACATAACAATTTCCTCAACAACTATTTATATATTATTAAATATTATCTTACTCTTAAGTGACAAATACGATTGACATTTAAAATTTCTGTGAAATGCATAGCAAAAATAGGATTTTCATTCATTTCTGATTATAATTATTGTATATGTAAGATTTTTTTTTCCTTTACAATAAAAAAATATAGTCAAGTAGATTAATTAAGGGGACTGCAATTATACCAGCTGAATTTACTGATTAAATTCACAGGTCTACACATTTATTTCTTTATTTTTCAAGAGATGTTGCAAACTTGGGAGAAAAAGAAGGATCGTACGTGTGTGTTGTGTGTGTGTGTAGCTTTATGAGAAACTTCATGCACAAGATCTTACATCTATGGCTATTAATTCTATTCAACTAATTAAAAGTTAATTGGAAATTATTGATATCTCTTTTCGTTAAAAAGTGGAGCAAATAATTTAAATCTGATTTTAAACTTATTATGGCTAAATCTTTCTGTTTATTATCAATAATCACTTGCAAGGATTAATACAGAATGATTATAGCAGAATTACAGCCAAGAAAAATTGCTTTCTTAAATCAATTACAATGAAAGTTTCATGATATAGCATACATAACCAATTAATATATATATTTGTTACACAAGAAAACATAAACCAACTATTAGTTCTTTTAATGAGTCATTTAAGAACTTTTGCTTTTATCGAAAAAAACAGAGAGTAGAGTTTACAATTTTAACATTTGGAATTATTTTCTATATTTTTTCTCCAGCGCGTCATCTCACATGGATATATATATATATATATATATATATATGTTTTTAAAATTAAAATGTAATTATAGTTCAAACTTATAATATAAAACACACAATTTATCCACAAACTAGATAGTTTTACGTGCGTTGCATGGGTTGAAATTAAGGAATTTGAAACAAATATTATCGATATCATTGATATTGACACATCTGATATAGCTAAATTTTTAAGAGTTTCTCTATTCAATCATTTTTCTTTTTAAAAACTTTATTTGTACACATTTTGTATTTATTTTTTTAGCCTATAGTAAGAAACCTGTCTAAAAAATACTTGTTCTTAGAGTGCTTAAAAATATTGGCAAAAACAAAATACTTCTTTAGAATTCTCAATAACCTCTCATTTTTAATTGCATAAAAAAATTAGACACTAATTTATAAATTATGATATAAATTATATTTTCATAAATATGGATATGAGAAAGAATCCAAAGGGATCCCTCTTTTTTTTTAAAAAAAATTGTATTATATTCTTTTATATTTTTTTTGGCTCCTATTCCTCTCTTTTTTATGTGCAAATCAAAATGGCTACAAAAAAGATAACCCACCACTCAAGTTTTTCCAGTTTAGAGTACTTAAATAGTCTTTGCGTTATAGTGTATGGTAAAACATCCAAAATTTGAAAGACCAAGACCACAAGATAAGGATTGATTATCCAAATCAAACTTAAAATTTCTTTTTACATATAATGTTTATGGATGAGAACTGATGAGAGTTGATTAATATTAAATACAGCAAATTAGGAAAATACATAAAAAATAAAAAATAAATTAAATCTCATTGATCAGAAAAATTAAAAAGGCATAGAAAAGTACAGAAAATGCAAAAAGGATAGTCAAATGAGGTAATGCTAATTATCAGATAAATTCAAAAATGAGATTGCTCTTGAATCTATACTCTCGTGAAAGTAGACTAAAAATACATGAAAAATAAGAAATAAATTAAATCTCATTAATCAGAAAAATTTAAAAAGCATGGAAAAGTACAACAAATGAAAAATGATGGCCAAATGGAGTTAATGCTAACGATTAACAAAATTTAAAAATGAGATTACTTTTAAATTAAAACCCTTGTGAAAGTAGATTGAAAATACATAGAAAATAAAAAAATAAATTAAACCTCATTAATGAATCAAGAGAAATTTTCATATTAAC